TTTGTATTATACATATTAGGCGTAAAGATATATTTGCTTGTAAATATAGCTGCTATTTATATGTAAGCAACTTTATTTACGTCTTTCAATTACACAATATTTACTACTCTAAATATACATATAAAGCAAAAAAAAATGTTTGTTTGTTTGAACGTTTTAATCTCTAGTATTGCTAGTGCGATTTGGAAAATTCCTTTTTGCATTTTATAGCGTATTTATTGAGGAAATTTAAAGTCCATGACGCTTCATGCTACGACGGAGACTTGAGGAGCGGAGGCATTACACATAAATAAACAACTCTGGGGAATTCGCGGGCAACACTAGCTTAACTTTGACTACTGCATAACTTTATGACTATTTTATGAATTATGAAGACTATATTATATTTTTGATAGTTGAACAGTCTATACATACGATAAAATTCTAACTGGGTCGAATCTGTAGTTTTTAGAATATTTGTCTGTCTGTTTGTCTGGGAACGCGTCGCGAGAAAACCACTGGACGGATTTTGATGAAATTTGGTATGATGTTAGCTGATAGTCTGGGTCAACATATAAAATACTTTTTACTGCTGGAAAATATCTCATCTCTAAGAATACCAACCGTTAAAACGTATCTAGGGACGAACCCGAGCGGACCGTGGGTGAGTCGCTAGTATATTAATATATAAGAAGTAATCAAGTACGAATCAAAATAGCATGACAGGCAGTTCTGTATATTATGAAATTTGATTTTGAAAAATTTATGGGTTTGCTATATTTTTTTCGTAAATTATGATAACGTTATTCTGTTTTCTTTTCGTAAATCTATACTCAGTAATCTCGCAAATAACAAATAGGGTAAAACCAGGATAGTCGCCCCAATTGGATACATGCCCCGGTTTTCAATACGCTATATTAGAGATGTACCTGATGTTAGCGCTCTTCTGTAATTTGAAGCGCCTCTTCCACAGACCTTAGGACGATGCCAGTAGTGGGACTAGGTAAACGTGTTTTGTTCGTGTGAGCGAAAATCTTCCGCGGCAGGCCGTTGATGAGCGTTGAAATTATATTCGTGTGTATTTTCTATTGAATATTTTTTTTACAGTTATCGATTCAGTCAACTTTTTGCTTCTACGCGTGTACTTAAGGTTAAATTACACTACCTATTGTCTTAAATTGTCGAATAACATTTATTTTTCAAAATATAAGGGCAAGTATCCGTATCAAAAAGGATAGTCGCCCCATATAATTTTGCGGATAGTTGCCCTAAGGATAATTAGTGTTGTAATTCTTAAAAAAAATATAAAGAATCATTTATTTACACTAAGCCACCAAATTCTATATAATACAACTTCCCTATTTAAATCGGATATTATTAAATTTTTCATTGGTTTTAATTTTTTTTTCGTGGGGACCCTATTTTTATTCTAAAATAAAAGTAGCCTAGGAGTATAGAAAAGTGTTGTTTTTAGACTTTTTCAGGCAAATTTTTAATTTTTCTCTCCGTAAGAACCATCCTCGTACTTCAAGGAATATTTTAAAAAAAGATTTAGCGAAATCGGTTCAGCTGCTCTCGAGATTTGCGCTCAGCAACACATTTGGATGCACAGACAGACACACGTATTATTATCCACGTGAAAGTTTGAATGCGTATGTTTGATACTTCCCCACGCTAAGCGGCTGGAAGAATCTGGATAAAACCGAGTACCTATACAAAAAGACCTGGAGTATATTTTGTTTGATTTCTATGTTGCGTAAGATATCACTGTTACTATTCTTGGTCTATTGTGATCGCCGCATGTTGAATTAGAGTAAACCGCGAAACACTGCAGTTATACTGCAAAATTTACCACAGCCCACCTCTAATTTTATTTTGGAATCTTCTGTGTACTAGATGAGACATTAGGTTTATAGGTAATTTTCTGGCCTTTAGTCTAGTCCTTCCTTGACGGTATTACAACTGAGTATTATTTTGAAAGTATCATTATAGTAGTGAGTCCTGTAGAGTCCTCATCCTCAGAGAGAGTCAGTGAGTCCTACCCTGGATTTTGGCCCTGTACATGCTAGCTTGTACCTTTTCTGTAGGAATAGATGAAGAGGCTTCAATGACCTGGAGTAACACAATGCTGCTCTTAGACATATAGACGCTGAAATTAGACGCCATACCCGAGCGATGCAAGGATAACTCGCTAGTTATTCTATAAGGGCGGGATCCTTTTCCTTAGTATTCTTTTTTATCCTTGATATCGAACCTTAAAAATAAAGAATATCATTAGCATAGCTTTGCCTGATAATTTTATACATACATTCTAAACTTTTAAGAACAATGGCATTATTTGGAAAGGGGACAAAACTTCTACAGAGCCAGTATAATTAGGCGACTTAAAAATATAAGCTCTATTGTGTAGGAGAAAACAGTAATTAAAATAAATAATTAAAATCAGAACAATACAAACACGAAATTCATTTAATTGTCTATGTTTTATTTAACGTAGAAAGGATATTTGGGGTAATTACATTCTAGTTCTAAAATATCTGTTAAATACCATTTGTTCAATAATAATAACGGTATTTATATAGACATTTTGTAATTTTAACGAAATTTATAATTATCCAATATTTACTTATTATATATTTTTAAATATCATTAATTTATACTAAACTAAGCTTTTTTGTGTTTAATACCTCATGCTTTCGCTTAAAACGCTTAGACTTCTATTTTCACGCGCGACATTCGATTTTCCAGTGTATTTTGACATGTCAGAAATGGTTACATATATAGTGATAGATAAATTCGACCCTACATAAAGCATTTAAAACTTTGCTCGCATGTTATAAATACAAATCGGATATTTTGAACAAACAACGCGACAGTTGTCATTTCCTACAATGCAGGAGATTGCAAATTCGATTTCTATAAATCTGTAGACATAAAAGGTTGGTTGTGCTCTCGTTTTATTTATTATTGTGATATTGTAAAACTGAAATAATATAAGTAAATCTGAAAATAAGTACGCTATTTTTGTTTGTAATTTACATTCTTGACGCAATGAAAACTTTTTTAAATCAGAGAGCTTATCAGTAATTAATCAACGATTAGTTATTTCGGAGGAGGAATTGATATTATAACCATTACACGTAGATTGTCTTAAAAATGGACAATGCAGTGCAATAGCAAAAAAACTATCAATCTCTATGAAGATATTATATCTGGCACTACGAATGTGATACTACGAATATTCCTACTTATACATATTTTATATTAAACAATATTATTATATTACATTCTTAAAATTTGTCATACTTAAAATTCCCAGTCAGCATTCAATTAAGTTACTTCAGCCAATAAATAATTCGTAATAACTGAGTCCAATAAAATTCATTCCAAGCTATAGTTTATTTTTATCTGGTTTCAGATAATTATAATCATATTTTCAATCAGGATTTACATATTTTTTCATGATTTTACACTTCCAATTATGATTAACAATAATATAATATGAATTTAAAATTAACGAAGTCTTGTAACGAACTCATTGTAAATATTAAATAAGTTATCCTAACTGATATTCAAAACTAACTATATGTAATTCAGAATTAAAACAAAAAAAGAGATAAGAATAAGAGATAACAGAGAAGACGGACGATAAGAGATAGATTTACATATACATATATAAAACTAGTATTATATGATCTGTGGTAAAGGTTACTTCCATCCAGATACATTTAGTGGCTCCCGCGAGACATTAGGTAGTGAAAAGTCACTTAACGACACTAATTTAAAAACAGTTTCTTTAAATACAAGATTGTTTACTTTATTTTCTTAAATTGAAACGATTATTTCTGCCGAACATTTCAAAATCTGTTGCTATTATAAATTATGCTAATACCTGTCGTGAGGCTCGGCATTAACTTAAACACGTTATACAAAGCTTTGGAAACCCACAGCTGTCTAAATTCTACAACGCTCTTATGTTTTTGCATGAAAGTATAGATATTGATAAATTTACATTAACAATTATAAGTTTTTATTGCTTTTGGTTATTTTCTGAGGAAAATACCGAAAAGTGTTTTATGTATGTTTTCAATATGTTGTCTTATAGCTTTAGTAACAAGTAACAACCTTGTTACTAAAGTCTATAGGCTCTTATAGTAGGTTGCAATCACGAACTCTTCGAATTCCAAGTCCCAATTTTTTTTAAATTGATGAGTAAAAGTAACTCAAATTAATTATTGTTTATTTGCAAAGGTAGCAATAGTGTTGCTTAATATTTTTATTTTAAATTTATTCTTTTAAACTACATACATATAAAACAATAATATTGCTTAAATACATAATTAATATTCTTAATTTTTAATCTCTTTGTGGTTTAATATAATATGTATTATATTAGTAGCAACACTAAATATTATTAAAATTTATAAAGTTTTTGTAGAAAATTGTAATATTTATAATAATAACAGCTAAAATTAAATAAATAATATTACTGTATTTAATTATAGTACTTATTAAAAAAATGTTTAGAATTAAAATCAACAAATATTGTAAGCTACTTTATTGCCATTTTTGAAATCATTTTTGTAAAATAGTGTGTAGGCACTGTCTGTAACAAGTGTATAATGTTTTTGAGACGTCTATAACCTTAGTCTCTCCCGTGACTATGATTACTATAAAGCATTCGAAACATCGGGAACCACAAATCAAAATAAATCCGCGAAATAATCCGAAAAGATAGTTTATTTAAAATACATATATAAAAGATTATCCTGTATAGATATAGTGTATGAAATAATTGCATATTGCATTACTGTAGGTGGAGAATAAATCTTTTCTATTACTCCCACTCGACGTCCAGCTTAGCACAGAAAAGAAAAATATTTTACTTATTTTATTGAAACTTGTACAATACAATATTCAACTAACGGTAATTTTGAAAAGGAAGTACCAATTATTTGTTTTGTTTAGTGAATCGTTTATTGTTATTGCGAATTTCCTTTAGCGAAATTGTCCTTTCACAGAAGTGCCACGTTTTGAAGATAGCTTAAACAACCTGACAGTATCATTAGGAAGAGAAGCTGTATTTACGTGTGTCGTCAATGACCTCGGCAATTACAGAGTAAGTGTTTCCCAATGTTATTTTTTCCTGTCAATATATTAATATATCCTTTGTTAAATATCAATCATGTTTTATTCATTTGTCTATGATTTTTCTTCTATATTATGTTGTTTAATATAAGCGAATTTATTGTCTATTGGAGCAAATATTTATATTGTCTATGCTTAAAATAAATAAAGCACAGCTTTGGGAAAGACCACCTAGTACAAATTCTCTCGACGATTACTAAGATTATAAATTTCGTTAGGAAAGATAAAATAAAATCGATTACTTTTTTATTCAGAATATAAATTATAAGCCATTAGCACAAGTTTAGAATAGGGGACATGGCCCCTGGTGAAGTGGGTGGTATTTCTGGATAGGGGACGTGATAGGGAGTCGAAATGTTAAATAAAAAAATTTACGGAAACAAAAGAGTCAAAAGTTATTGAGACTTAAAGTTACAACATTTCCATACATTTTCATATATTTCTTTACCACCATTCGGAGTGAGTGGTATTTTTAGATAGGGGACGTGACAGAGAGTCAAAATATATTAAAAATATTTGGAGGAAACGTACGAGTAAAAAGTTATTGAGACTTAAAGTTATAACATATCTAACACATTTCCATACATTTCTTTACCTAAATAAGTGATTACAACAGATGAACATACCTTTAACGAATAGTACGCATCCTTTTTTATATACAATACATATTTTCACAACAATTAATGCTTTATTGTCTTTAATATTTTAATAATTTCACAACACAAACAAAAAACAAAAAAAATGATCTTACATTTTGACAAAAGCAAAACTGTCACTTTGTTTTATATTACCGCTTAAATGACAACAGATTATATTTGATTATTTTTGCTTTTTCTGTTGGTAATATTAATAAATAAATAAAAAGAAAAATATTATTTTCACTTCATAAATACATTTATGACTTTTTATCTGAATCTTGGTTAGGTTAGGTTAGAACATTTAAGATTATTTATTTATTATTCGTCATATCTTGGTTAGGTTAGAACAGTTGCCACAATGCCATAAATGACTAGAAAACTAGAAAATTCGAAGTTCACGCAAAGTACAAATAAAGACAATCATCTGGAGATCATTTTGACAATTGATAGTGACGTTTTGACATTTCCAAGTGTCTAAATGGTAGTAATGTCAAAATAATGTATGGAAATGTTGTAACTTTAAGTCTCAATAACTTTTGACTCTTTTGTTTCCGTAAAAATTTTTAATTAACATTTCGACTCCCTATCACGTCTCCTATCCAGAAATACCACCCACTCCGCCAGGGGCCATGTCCCCTATTCTAAACTACAGCCAAGCCATTTTATTAAAAGCCAAAATTCTACTTCTGGTTTAAGAAGAAAATGTTACAGTACTAAAGAAATAGCGTAACTATGAATAAATTAAAATAAAATACATAAAATTATATTATAGTGAACCCCGAAACAGCATAGAGCTTATTCATGTTATTAATATGTGATAATTGAAATCAATTAACAATTCAAAGGTGGCGTGGCTACGCGTGGACACGCAGACGATCCTGACGATCGCCACTCACGTGATCACGAAGAACCATCGTATCGCGGTTAACCATAGCGACAGGCGAGTGTGGTTTCTACATATACACGACGTGCGTCAATCCGACCGCGGTTGGTACATGTGCCAACTCAACACCGATCCTATGAAGAGCCAGACGGCGTATTTAGATGTCGTAGGTATGTACTATTAAGATTCATTTCATCCAAGATTCAGCTTAATTTCTTAAGATTACTCTAAATTTAAAATCATTTGGATTTAATGATATTCAAAGATTCTAACTATTGTTATCTACAACCTAAATGATGTTGAATAAAAGGCAGTTTTAGCCCAGTGGTAACGTGCTTCGTGATTGATCTCTCTCGTATTGAAAGGAAGCCACCAATGGGACTTTAAAAAGGGCTGCTAATTCAAAATAAATAATTTTAAGCATTAAAAGTATTTTTAATTGAGCTAAGAGCTATTTATTATTATTAATGAAATACTATATACTAATTTCATAACTGTACATGTAGCAATTGACCCCGTTATATTAAAAAAGTATTACGTTTACTAGGCTAATGATAAAAAATAATCTAGGCAATATGAGTGAATTTTATACTAGTTCGGGTATATGAAAAGTATATTATAAGCCTATACAATTAATAGGATATTGTTAAATTTTTATCGTGATTTACACCTGGCTTGGTAATAATTAGAAATAAGCAAAGCTTATATAGACTGTAAAGCTGTATTGATTGTTACTTATATGTAATAGGATATTTAATTTCAATTTACAAAAACATATCATTTTGTACATATTTTTGGGATAAAAAGTAGCTTATGTCTTATACCGATCGATATATGAGCTATATTATTGTAAAGTTTCATTAAAATACATTCAGTAGTTCTTACGTGAAAGAGTAACAAACATCTATACATCCAGACATCCATACATCCTCATACACTTTCGCATTTATAATATTAGTAGGATTAATTATTTAAATAGGTATTTTTTTAAGAAATGAATTTGTTTCATAAGAACAACAAAACTGGTTCTATATAATATACCTATGTATGTTTGCATATGCACTTTCATAATAGTAGTTTAAATACGTAATGTACAGTATGATATTATGTACAATGTAGATAAATATATATGTATGTACGTGAATAACATCGTCTCCATTGAAGTGTTAAAACATATCAAATTGTAGACCAATATAAAAATTTGTCATCCGTTTTCTGTCTTCATAAATTTCTATATCCCTAGTATGCAAGTCCTAGCAATTCCGTGCAACGTGTATTGATAGACGTATTTCAATTTCCGTGCTGCGACCGCAGATATAAAGCACCTATGCATTCTACTAGATGTAGGTGTAATAAATAAATGGAAAATCCAATGTAGAATAGTTTTCAGCATAACCATGTATGATTAAATTTTCATGTTTGCTTCTGACACTACAATATTATATTAGCCACATATACCATACATACTAAATACACAATCAGGTCTATATAATACATATAATTTTAAATATAAATATAAATTAACGCCCTTTAAAGGTTTATTTTTTATAGATGTTTTGAAGCATTCATGTTAACCTGAATATTCTGTAGTATCAAATTGCTTAAATGTCTCGCTATCAAAGTTCAAATATTGTATCAAATAATACATACCAAAACACTTAATTTACTTTGATACTTAAATTAATTAATTGTTTATATTTATAAAACAAAATTCATGAAATCTGACTTCGAAACAACTATTATATATTCATGTAGGTGTAATTATATAATAATACATGGTGAAATTAATTACTAAGTTCTTTCGTAAGGACATTTTATTTAACGTATTAAAGCTTTAGAGTTCCATATTGTGGTCTTATGAAACTTTAAATTGAAATTATATCACTCTACAAGCGGAAAATAACAAAAGTTAAATGATGATGGAAACAACTGCTGACTTTTGTTAGAAGAAGGCTTGTAGTAAAACCAAATTGTTTTGTAACTCAGCGTAAATAAAAGGCAACATACAAAACTTTTACGTGCAATACCATAATGAACAACTTATTCCGGATTAGTTCTAGTTTGTATCCAGCCCTTTTTTAACGTTACACTGCTGGGCACGGGCCTCCTTTTAGTACGACGGGAACCAGGCCATAGTCCACCACGCCGGTCAAGTGCAGGTTGGTGGACTTCACATGTGTTTTGAAAACTTGCTAGGTTTTCTCAGACATGCAAGTTTCCTCACGATTTTTCGTTCACCATTAAGACAAGTGGTAATCATGTTGGAAATGATTCGCACATAAAAATATCAGAAGTGCGAGACCCGGGATTTGAACTCGCTTCGCTCGGTTTCCCGAGCAAGCGCGTTACCACTGAGCTACCAATGCCTTAGTAGTTCTAGTTACTACTTGCCAATTCGGCCATCTACGTATTTTTGTTTAATCTACAACCATGAATCCAAATCAATAAGCACTTAAAATATTTACATACATATTGCAAAGTTACTCAGATATTTTTTATAATATGTCAGTCAATAAATATTATTTGCCATACTCCCCTAAAACTTTTAAGGGTTAAGTTTCAAGAAATTTTTTCTCAGCGGTTCCGTATGTTATCATAAAAATAATATTTACAACAGCCCGATAGATTCAATTATTTAGCTTTCAATTATAGATAATGATGAATCAGATAAATAATTTCGTATATAAAAAAATATAAAAAATACAGTGTGGTTAATTAAAAATATACGAATCAAATGTTACTATAAAAATTATATCCGCGTACAATTGTAGTCGAATGCTAGCTGCATTAGGATAATGAATAAGTTATTATATAAATAATAATGGACTCTACAGTCGTACGTTTAAGTTTTTTTTATTTTCGAAACTACAGGTATAGTAGTGGGGAGGTTTTTACAATTTCTATTGTTCTATTCAGCCGGGCAACTCTCGAAAATGAATCAATGGAGTTTACGCGTCATATAAACCACTTTCTCTTTTTGAAGCCGGTTAATACCTAACTTTAAAAGTTACCTAAAAGCGTACATTTCATTTCACTTCCCCTTTCATTGTCCTACATAAATAAGGGTCATGTCTAATCTTTGTGCGTTAAATAGTACAGTAATAGTACACGTACGCTAGGAAAAACCGAAAAACTCTCTTTCCGTTTCTAAAATATTCCTCAATACAAATTGTTTATTGTTGCTTACTTTGATTGCTTTGTGTTTGCTTACTAAGGTACAGTTTGGTTTACTACAAGGCTTATTGTAATAAAAATCGGAAGTAGTCACCATTACGATTTAACTTTTTGTTGGTGTTTAGTATTTGCTGAAATAGAATTAATATAGAATCAACTCGAGCTTACTTAGTAATTAATCGTATGACCTATATAATAATATTATCTAGACTTTACAAATAAACCTTAAATGTTGCGTTTATTCCAAAATAGATACTTTCTCTATATTAAATTCACTAGCGACTCACCCTCGCTACGTCCCAAGCTTTCTTTCCAATATAGACTTTCATCTGCATTTTCACCCCCTCAAGGGATAATTTCCGGGCTAAAAAGTATCCTATGTCCTTTCCAGGGTCTCCAACTATCTTTTTACCCATCTAAATCGGTTCATTAGATCCAGAGATTACCCCCTATAAAGTCACAAACTCACAATCTTACAAACTCTCAAACTTTACCTCTTTATAATATTAGTATAGATATGATATTTGAACATTTTCAATACTGTTTTGGCACGCTCAAATGTACATCCCAAACGGGGATTTTGTGCGTTACTCGAGTGCGTCAGAAAATCATATGGGGAGAAACCTTGCACCCTGTAATGTACCCCTACCATATACGAACCTTTAATATAGGGCGATGCGGTGAGGGCAGCCCGTCAGATTAATAAAAAAAAAATCGATCTTCAGAAATACTCGAGCGCGTCAGACATTTTTAAAACTAAACCCCGCTCCCTAACTTACCATAAACTTTTTTCGTTTTAGAACCTAATCTTCACAATCCAATAGGTCCACACGACGCTTTAGTAACCGCTAAATGGACAAGTGATTATACTCGATATTTTTATATTTGAGAGTGTAATAGCCAATTTTATTTTGACGAAATAAGCGAGAAAAACCGCTTGCTTAAGAAAGCTACTAATAAAATAATTTATTCAGTCAAAAACACCTAGTACAAGTTTTGTCCATTGGAACTAATAATAATAAAGCGAGTGCGTGTCGTGGTCTCCCCGGTAACGACGCGTAATTGCTGTAATAAGTCGCAGCTGTGATAAGCAAAATAAACATATTGTGAACTATGTTTATACCAATGCTTTTACATGGATTAGGCACTTATGACGTGTTTTAGTGTAATTTCTGACTGTCAGTAACTGAGTACATGTACTCATATTCACGTAATGTGCATACATTTTATATACAAAGAGATTTATATAAAATATAAATGTTGAATAGCCCAAACTAACTATATAATGTCAATATTTTACAACTCTAATGTAATTGGATTTTTTATATATATATATATATATATATATAAATATATTTTACTTAATATACACATTATCTCAGATTAAGGAATAACATAGAGAGAGTGTCACAAAACTAAACATGAAGCCAAACTAAAATGTTAAAAAAATAATAATAGTTTCAAAATAATACTCATTACTATGATATGTAAATAAATGTTAATAAAGAAAAGTAGCTAACGGATTTTATTATAAGAAAAATAAATAAGCTAATATTATACAATATCTCTTTCAAGGGGAACAGAACTAATGCCTAAAAATACAAGAGAATATATATTTTTTTCATATTTTTTTCTCAATTCAAATACAGTATATTAACGATTAATACCCATATTCTTTAAAAAAAGTAAGCGATCTGTATGCAAATCTGTTTGGGAAAATCGATCGAAAGTAACTATCAATCCAGTTACTGTACGACTAATACATAAATATTTGTCCTGATTCAATTTTCAATTACTTGAGTTTAATGTATTTGACAAATTTGAAATTAGAATTAACATTAAATTTGAATTTGGTTTGAATTATATATATTTATTAATCCGGTAATTTATCTACATTGCTGGACTAATAAAAATATATTATTCGTACAGTTACTGTACGATGTGAATATTAATCCATTTTTACTCTATTTTTTTATTTGGAATTTAGAGCACCTGGATAAACGATTATTTATTTGTAAGTTTTAACTTTCGATTATGTGACAGGCTCGACTTGGGTAACTTGCGATTAGCGAAGCCTGAGTATATTACTTAGGTATTATAAATTACATGTTGAGTAAAAGAGGGTATTTGTAAGTTATTGATATTTTTAATTAATTGAGTAATAAATAATACAGAGTTTTAATGATTTAAGTCGAATTAAATAAACAACTAAAAACTTTTATCTATTGGTAAGATATTTTGGTAGGCAATGAATATGAATACTACGTTTTTTTTGCTTCTAGTCCCTCCAGATATTTTGGACTACCCAACGAGTAGCGACCAAGTTGCACGAGAAGGTGCTAATGTGTCACTTCGATGTGCGGCTCATGGGGTGCCAACTCCAACTGTTGTATGGAGGAAGGAGGCTGGGGATTTATTACCCACGTCAAACTTCAGTGACACGCAAAGTAAGAAACTTATGGGTATTTGTATGAAGTTATTACTATTTACTATACATTTTCTGCGGATTCACTTGTAAGTATGTGGAAATACTCGACCTTGTCATAATTTCAGTGGGAAAGTTCGTAAAATATTTCATTGCAATAAATGAAAAATATGAAAGTAAGTGAGCATAAAATGTAGGCTTTTAATTTTTAATGAAACGTCAAAGTATTTTAAAACTCTTCTACGTCTACATTGAAACAGTTTTAATAGGGATGTTATGAATATTCAAAATGCATTACTCACATCAGACATTAAATTAATAACTATGTGGAACATATTATATTTTATGAATAGTATTTTATGTTGAAGCAGGTATATCTGAACGAAACATCAACTTCAAACATGCAACATGCAAACCACAAAGTCTACCACTTTCAATCTACGAGAAATGCAGAGTGGAAAGCCACGGCCACTTCCACTATATGGAATTTTATTTCCTCAAATGAAAAGTGCGATTTTAGATAAAAATAATGTTGGGAGAAATAATAATAAGCAATACGCTCGACGATTACTTTACGACTGTGACGCGTCATTTAAAATCTTCAAAACTTTGAAATTGTTTGCTGGAAATGACAAATCAAATCCGTTCATTTAAATCTTCAATTTATTTTAACAAGTAATAAGACGTCTACGATTTTTACCGACTTCCAAAAAGATCCTCCAAAAAGGTTCAATGTTCGTCTGTATGTACCTAGGTTTTTTTTAATTTTAAATTATATTAATATAATATTATTTATAAAGATTTCTTAAAACACGACGTTTAGATTTACTAAATAATCAACTATCAACATTCGAAACTTATAAAATGTAAGATCCTAAATAATCTATCATATTTTTCATTTAGTTAAATATAATCTGCATACACAGATTTACTACCACTACTAATAGCACTATTTAACATTAAAAATTAAAAAATAAGCTGCAGTGATTAGATTTACCTCTCAACGAACTCACCTTAGTCCCTACTTAACTTAAGCCGCACATGAAAAGTTGTTATTAAACCGATTAACCATTTCATCCTCCAGTACATAATTACAGTTTGCTAATCTAGACTCGTCGGTAAGTGGCGCCGTGGTGCACTTAGTGAAGGTGTCGCGATTGCACATGGGGGCGTACCTCTGCATCGCGAGCAACGGCGTGCCGCCCTCTGTCAGCAAGCGGGTCATGCTCGTCGTTCACTGTAAGTAAAAGAAAAACCTTGTGTTCTAGTTAAATCGTTGTTTTTTTTTCAATTTCTTCTTATTCTTATAATGCTTTTATTACCTTTATATTTTGTAACAAAGAATTATGTAAATACTTTTAAATAATTATATAATATTATCGTAATGTGTTAAAAATTTGTTAGTTTAAGTAATTCGAGTGATAATTATTCGTTTAAAGGTTTAAGGTATTAAAAACAATAATGAATGATGATGTTCTCCTGGCCGATTCCGGCCACGGCGGCCAATCTCATTGAGACTAGCCAACTGCGCAGGAGATATTATAGTGCACAAGTGTACGCGCAGACACAACGTGCACTCTCTATTCCTGTCACTCTCATACTCCGGTGGGACGACTACTCGACACGACCGGTGAGAGATAAGGCGCAGGACCGACGGCTTTACGTGCTCTCCGAGGCACGGGGGTGAAACACCGCCAACTTCCTAACTCCGGGCTGTTAGTGAGGCTTACTATACAGAAAGACTCAATAACTAAACTTGGCCCGACCCGGGACTCGAACCCAGGACCTCCGAGTGTGCAGCCGTACATGCTAGCCGCTACACCAGCGAGGTAGTTAATTTTGATAGTGTGGTAGTTAATAATGAATATGCAGTTCATTAATGTATGATATTATGTAAATATTTAATCTATAATATTAATATTATTTTGAAATATATCTACAATTAACGAAACTGTATTATAATATCGTTCCAGAAATCGTTAAATAAACGTCCTATTCTTACACGGATGTTGAATTATGTTCGTATATTATTTCTTACATAAAAGCCGTAAACCGTATACAGTAGGTACTATTTGAATTTAAAATGTACTTTACTTAACAACGTCATGCTTGGTTTCTATAAATAAACGCTCTCTACAAACTCTGTATTGGTAAAAATCAAAGTCTATTTAGTCTCCTTACTTTTATAAAATATTGTACAAAAAATAATAAATCGACGAAAAATGTAGAAAACTTTATATAAAGTTCACTCAGTTATATTTCAAAGTGGTATTTTCTTTAATAACAAAAAATATAGAACAAGAATAAAAATCCAGAAGATTGATAATAATTATTGATTGACCATTGATATGTAAATAGCTACCTTTTATATATCTCCTGTAATCTGCTGGTACTCACAAATTATTATATATATATCTATTAGTTTAGTTGTTAATTTATTAACTTGTATACCTAAAAGTATTAAATGTTTAATAATATATTTTTCTACTTGCCTAATGATCTTAGAAGCTGTTTATCAACTTAATACGTAAAGAGTATCGAAAATAGAGTAATTTAATATTATTAAATTGTTAAAGCATTGTCTAATATTATACAGGATGGATTTTTGAGAGGGTATAGTAAGGACAGGCACCTTGTCGTTGTGGGAGGGCTCAGTAGTGCCCGGCAATCCTACCGGGCGCGAAGCTAAGAAAAGCACAGGGAGGTTGCCCACTTCGGTGGGCGGTGGGAGGTGGCCCTCTTCGGGGGGCGGTGTACCTTGCGGGTTGCTCCTGGTACTACTCTGATAGCAGAGTGGACCTTGGAGCAACCCCATGGTTGTGGTGGTCTGCTTCGGCAGACCTGCCGTCGGGGCGTCGTAGTTGAATGCGTAAGCGATCCTGCGACGCCCCATTAAGACGGGGGAAGGTTTTGTTGGGTTTTAGTGGGTAGTACTGGCTGTATTACGCCGGTGAGTCCCACACGTCGTGCGTAAATGCATTTCCCAACGTTAAAAAAAAAGGTACCTTAACTGCTATAGTTACAAGAAAACGTTCCTAGGAGACCATCCATAATTTTTGAGATATTCTGAACTGCATTCACATATTTTGTGAATAACTGTACATTTAGCGAAAAAAATGCTAAAATACCAAAAAAATTTATTTGAGTACTAGATATGACAGAAATCGCCAAAAACTTTACCCATACATTTTGTACGGAAAAACGATTAATCAACTCGAAATATTCTTTGTTAAAGATAAAGAGACTTTTTTTATTTCGGCGCGCTTATTTAATGGATTTATGTTATATTCCCTGATCCCTGTTGATGACCTGTAACCAGGGTCAGGACGAGGAAAGCGAACTATTTTAAATATCAGCCAAAGATCTTTTAACTCAATAAAGTTTTAGGAATCAGAAGGCGAGTAGCTATTAATAATGATAATGTACTATGCCATACAAAATTGCATGTACTTCCACCCTCTGACAGCAAGTGAGTGATATTCATCGTTCATTACGGATAAACAATATTAGCTGACTAAGCTGCAACAATGTTGATGGATTCTTAAGCGGGACATTGATTGATGCTATTATTTATATACTGCAGTGCGCAGATGAACTTTTATATACTTTATGACCAATATTTTCCTATTAACTTTCCCATATCCCTCATATTTTTGGTATTTTCTATAACTTATATGTACTTTTTTTTAAAATAACCAAGGGTATTAATTTATTCTACACCACGTGAAATTTTAGCGAGGAATCAATTTATTTTATTTTGTATTAATTTATTATATATCTATGTTACTTTTTATCTTTGTTTTAATGTAAAAGAAACATATTTTTTGGATATATCATAGTAGATAGAAAATAGCATATTATATTCGATTTAATAGCAGCGGGAAGTTAATCAGGAAGTTGTAATTGTTTCGAAACTGTTTACTTCTTCATTGGATGAGTACTTCAAGAAACTTAAATGAAACAGACGTTATATTTACATAAACGATATAAATACATTATTATTATTATTTTATAGTATTCAGTGACAAACGAGCAGACAGTCTACCTGATGGAAAGCGGTACCTGTCGCCCATAACACCTACGATTCATGCACTTAGGTTTTATGTTACAAAAATACAGAACCGCAGGTGCGTTGTCACTGTGAGAACTAAGATGATATTAACTACCTTATCCTTCAAACCGGAACACAACAAGGCAATCATTTTTACTTGACGGGAGAAATAGATAAGGGGGCGGTACCCATCCAGTCGGACTCCTTAGGCTTGACAGAGTCCTACCAACGGTAAAATTTAACATTATCACCTTAGCTGAAACTATACAGGACTTGGAAGCTGACCCTAAGCGTATGCTTAGGATGTGCGACGTTTTGGGAGTTGTGTCATATTTCTGGGCTATATATCCCATAATCTACACATATGCACTTATGAAGCCAAAAATGGACCCTCACCCTAGGTCTGATTTTCAAGGTCGCATTGTGAGCATGGAACTCTACCTTATAATCAGTTTTTGAGTAGTTCGAATATTCTAAACAAATACTGTTGATATTATACCAATAAAATAAAAGAAAATAACCCAATAAATAAAATAACAAACTTTATGAATGATAGTTAATTAAATATACTCGTGTATTAGGATGCTGACTAAAGTTCGGGTGCTATTTTAAATATTTATATATAGCTAATTGCATTAATCTTTGATGATTATAGTACTTCACTTTTAGTACTCGAATATTATTGCCAGTATTAAAAATGGGCTTAAATTTTATAAGAATAACGTATAATGTAACTTATAACTAAGTCAAAACTTCGTCAGCAAGCAAGTCATGCTTGTCGTACATTGTAAGCAAACGCTATTAACACTAACTAAGCTGCAACAGTGTTGATCGATTCTTGAGCAGGACATTGATTGATGTCCAAGGTGCCTTAAGCATTGCTAGTGGATATTGTCTTTTAAGATTTTTGCTTGCATTGCAAAGGTATTCTATACAACGTTAGCTCTTGTTTAGAGATATAATCGTCAAGTCTATTACAAATAGGAAATCATTTTCAAAGTGATTATTTTATAATATTTCCTTAATCATAAAAACCTAAGTTTAAAAGAACTCGTAATTAATCGTTTAAAAACATGTGATACATTTAATATAACCTACAACTATTCTAAATGGTATTTAAAAAAAGCTCCGTAGAAGAATAAAGCTGTATAAATATTAAGAGAAACTCTTTGGTAGCCATTCCCCTCTGAAAGTGGTAGCCATGTCATAATCAATAGTAAAAAGAAACTAATGGCCTATTAAAATTCTACCCTAGGGCAAAGCCCTCTTCAACTAACAAGAGGGATCGAAGCCTTTTCCTCCCCACGTTGTGAAGTGGCACAAAAATATATGTTGAAATTCTTAGTCTTTTAAAATTAATCTTTACGTTTGTTGAACGTTTTTAAATATTTTAAATCATATTTATTTTTTAAGATTTAAGATTTAAGAGAAATTAATTATGTTTATACACTAGGAACCAAAAAGTAAGCTTTCTTTTAACTTTCATTATATTAATACGTTTTGGCAACAAAATTCACATTTATATTTTAAATACAAAGCTAGTACTTTTGATATATTTCATGTAAACTGTAAGGTTGAAAATTTAAAGCTACCTTCTAAAGCATAAGTAAGTGTTAAGGCATATATGTAAGTTCCTATTTTACTGGCGTAAGAAGTTTTGCTCTTAGATATTAGATATTTTTATAGTTTTTAGTAGAAAAGAAGCACAAGTAAATATTATATAGTTTAAAACTTAATAGTACCTAAGCTATACGTTAGTGTCGAATCTGAGCGTATTGGGATATATACAGTAAACGTATTGTAAACAAGTAATCCGACGACACGTTTGTCTCAGTTTGTAATGACTCTACTTGCTGAGCCAGCGGTCGCGGGTTCGAGCCCCGCTGGGGGTATTCATTTGTGTGATGAACATAAATGTTTGTATCCCAGTCATGGGTGTTTATATTTATAATATGCATGTATTAAAAGTTCAAGTGTGGTGTATCAACTGTCTGGTATCTATAACACGCCTCGTAGCTTACCATGGAACTAGATGGTGCTGTGTGTTAATGTCCCGACATATTTATTTATATTTTTTTATTGTTAAGCATTTAATACAAGACTGCGGTGACCGTTACAATTCACAACGAAGAAATAATATATATTATAATTCTACCTACATTACAGTTAGTTAAAGTTATAAGTCTATGTGAGTAATAATATATTGAAGGTTTTTTAAATATACTTTTATGTAATTCTTATTAAAATTATTATTTTTTTGCAGTTCCACCTATCATGACAATACAAAACCAACTGGTAGGCGCGAATGAAGGCGACACGGTGCATCTTGACTGTCACTCTGAAGCTTTCCCCAGGTCCATCAACTACTGGACTATCAATGAACAAATCATATCACAAAGTAAGCATGTTGTAGTTTTTCTTCCTTATAATGTAAAACTTGATTCTTTGCTACACTATATATCTGATAGTTTAGTAGTTAGCTTTTACGCATTTTTAGCACTTGACCCGATCTGTTGGAGGACTTCCTATGATATTTACCTAATTTTTACATTTTTAGTTAATAGTTTTCTATACTTAACATTTTTTTTTGTATAACAAGATAAGTTTAAACACTATTCTAAATATGTAGAGAAATTAAACTGAACCACGCTTTGGAACAGTTATATACTCGTAATAAGATAAACTATTTGACCTACCTCGTAATATTTAGAGCTAAAAAATAGTTTATAACAAGTTAAACTATTAATCTGATAATATTTCTAAAACTATGCAAACATTATAAAATATTTAAATATTCCGCGGATGCGCGAACGGTTTTATGTGGTACATTTGGTCTGAAACTGTTATTTACACCAACACACAATCACTGTGAAACTCCATACTTTTATTTTTATTTTATGCAAATTCGGAAACCAATTCAAGTGAAATATATTTGACGGCAAAGTTCAGAGCCCATTGAAATAACTCGGGTATTTTTGTTTTAAAAATGATAGATGGCTAAAATAGCTTGTCCGATTTTGTTTGTTGTTTTTTTTAAATTAATAAATAACAAACAAATACTCCATGTATAATACGATAAAATTATACTTATTCTTATTAGTGTTATGAACGAATTCTTCAAATCGATCTTAAGTTACAAATAGTTTAAAAAAAGAAATTGTCCTGCTTTTTTGAATGTGATTCTTAAGCATTACTTGGGTTTAAATCCCATTGACGGCAATTGTTTATGGCTCGAAGACCACTTACTAACAGCAAGAGGTGCTATCCTCAATATCAAAAAAAAAAAAAACAAAAATGTGAATTATCCGATACTATGACCTATAAAAAAAATATAATATTGCGAAGTATATCAACGTAGCAAGCAATCATAAAACCATATAAATAAGTTAACATTTGTTATATTAACAAATATTTATGTTTCCAAGTACGCTTAGCATATTTGTTAAAGTAAATACCAACTTTTTGTAATAATGAAAGGAAATTGCTATTGTAATACAATCGCATGCCAACTTCTAGTTGCAATGCGATGTTATTATGAGGAATATTTAGTAGCATTCACAATTCACGACGTTGTTCTATTACTTTTTTTAATTTTTCCAACAATGAATTACACAATAAAAGTTTATGATTATAAATGTATCAATAATAATGTCACAGTGTAAAAATTACATATTACATATATTATTGTATTAGGCATAGTTCCTAATTACCATGCCATGCCATATTGTTGGTGGTTATAGATTCACTTCCCATATAAAGCTAATTTTTATTTATATAGCAAATAATGATTTAAAAATATATAAATAAAAACTAATATTTATTATTATTATTATTGATCAAACCTGCCATGCAAATATTAAAGTAAAATGCTACATACAAATAATTATTGGACCACTATACATAATTAATAACTTTATTGGTTTGCTTATAGCCGATAAAAGGTTTGAAGTAATAGCTGTGGAGCGCGGCTACGAAGTGGACATGCGCTTGAAAATAAAGAAAGTAGGTCGCAGTACCTTTGGCACGTACAGTTGCATATCAAAAAACTCCCTAGGCGACACCGATGGGACTATTAAATTGTATCGTAAGTATTAATATATCTTCGTTTCAGATGTGTCTACTGAATAATATAATATGAAAAACGGAGATAGTCGTATTTTAAGGTAGCGCAATGTTTGGCTGTAATTTGGAATCCTATAATTTGATTTCATTCAGTTTGAACATATTGGTTAATAAATTGTCACTGTTTATTGGATATCAACGAGAACTTTAAAAGTATTAGGTACGGCTGGACAGTTACACACATTCACTAAATATTTAAGGAATATTAATGACATATAAGTCCGCTAACGATTGATATTAGTATTAGTTTAAAGTATAGTATATATGTATAGTGTATATACTTAATATAGTACAAAAAGAACCCGACTGCGTAAAAATCAAACTTAAAATATGAGAACAAGTTGACGAAGGAACATAGCATTATGCAGTTGGAGACATACAGACACGCAGCTATTATAAAATATGTACATATGTAATATGTATGTATGTCTCCGACTGCATAATACATAATATGTTCCTACGTCAAGTTCTTCTGATCTTTTTAGTTAAATCACTTTTAAACATATAATTTGTATATATTTTTGCAATCGCCTGTTAGAAACCTGTATTTTGATATCCCACTCGACTAATTTGGCCGAAAAAAGTTTTTTCGAAACGCACTATTTGGCGAATTATCCTATGACACTCGAGTTATCAAGATAAATCGAATGGCGTATGAATCATCAAAATCGGTTAAGCCTCATTTGAGCTTCGCGCAGTCGGGTAAAAAGAAACCAATTAATAAGATTTAAATCAAGACTTATGTTAATAACGTATATTTTAAACCTTCTTCTCGACTGTATATATTACTTATATACACAGACGATAAACAGATGATTGTACATTATATATAAAGAGAAAATATCATTTAACCATTATGTAGTGACAGACACTTCAATTTTATATGTATAGACGCGAAATTGAGTGTCACTGTCAATATGCTTCGTGCTCATACCTAAACTGACCATTGTACACAGACTTTGACATATTTTTCGTAAAAATCGATTTATTTTTCCAAATAGTAATAACACTAGCAATTTATTTAGGTGTTAAGACTTTAGACTTACAATCTCCTTCTTTTCAGCTTTATCTGGTAGATTTGAGGAGATGCAATACAATGAAGTAGGAGACTTTGAAGAAACGCCCGATGTGAGCGAGTTAGAGGCGTTAAAACGAAGCTCGGCGAGTGCCCTCGCACCAGTACTCACTCTCATAGCCATTATTGCCATATTATAAAGCTAATTTGTATATACAAAATATATTGTTACAATCTTTCTGGTGTTGTTTAATTATATTTTATACCCAAAAATACATTACACAATTTATCATGATTTATTTAACTGTTTTGGTTTTAGGGTTCTGTAGCTAAAATGCAAGAAGTGACCCCTTATAATTTTCTAATGATTGTTTGTTCGTATGTTACAGAATTTTATAAAATGAAATTTGGCCGGTAGTTGGCAGTTGGTCCCGGTTGAACCACTCGTAAATTTTGTAGTCAAATTATAAAACATAAAACATAAAAAATAGTTACTGGCACTCGATACATGCAATTGAGGAGTAAAAAAAATTGGTAGCAAAGTGGTAACGCCCTCGCTTGGGAAACCAAATGAAGCGAGTTCAAATCCAGGGTCTCACCCCTCTGATATTTTCATATTCGAATTATTTCCAACATGGCTACCACTTGTCTTAACGGTGAAGGAAAACATCGTGAAGAAACCTGCATGTCTGAGAGTACCTAACAAGTTTTCAAAATACATGTGAAGTCCGCCAACCCGCACTTGGCCAGCGTAGTGGACTGTGGCCTGATTCATCTCGTACTGAAGGGAGGCCCGTACCCTGCAGTGGGACGTTAAAAAAGGGCTGAATACAAACGTATGGAGTCTTATTAGAGAAACGTATCTCCGGATAAGTTATTAAAATTTACACAGACGCTTCTGAGTGAGTTAGCTCAAACAAATAGTTGCCGAGTTGCGTACCACCAATACAAACAGCGCCAAATCAATACCAATTAATCATCATAATAATTAATCGAAAAAGCTTTTGATGACAAAATAAAACGACACTTATAGAAAATTGTTTAGTAAAACCTAATTAGCAAAAATAAAAAAGAGTTTAATAAAAATACGGAGTTAAAATTGAAAATGAACTAATTACATATCATACCTACCTAAATCATAGCATCAGTTTATCTATCTGTTAACTTATAACCTGAGAACTACTAGTAATTATTTAATAGTAAACTGTACTAAAATGTTTTAGCGGGGCCATTTTTTTAACTTATAAGGATAAATATGTAAAAGTGTCCTAATGAAATAAAAGACGATTCATTAAGCCGCTATTTTGTTCTACGAGTACTTATAGTATGCGCATGGCTAGCACTAATTTTTTTCTCGCTAGAATATAAGTTTCATTTAATATAATATAAAATTTAATATAATAATAATGTGATAGACGGATGTTAGAAATACTGCGATCCACAACTGAAATAGTGTTTAATGTGTAGGGTGCGGGAAAAATCAGAGCACGCACTCTCAATAACGGCGATTGAACTTGGTTTCCTTTTTAAGTTAGTTTAGTTATTATTTTGAGTATAAATCTGTATTTAAAATTTAGAATTAATATTACATAAGCTTTTGCCTATTTTAAGACTTCTGGAATAAGCTCCGAATTTTAAAAACTCTCAAAGCACGAAGAAATAACGAACACACTCATCACTCATTCACGAACCTTAGCATATAATATAAGTGGTAGTTATTAAATCAACTCTTTTATGAAAAGCTTACTACTTTGTTGTGATAGCTGTAATGGAAGTAGCATCACCATATTGAACGTACATTTTTAATGAGCTTTTATATTCAACCTTCACAAACATTTTGGTTTTAGCTGTAGTCGCCTGCATATTTAAGTTACGAAGTGCCCCAAACTTTAGGTTTATCATCTTCAATTATACGCCTTCTAAGTCGTTTTAGTGTAATTTATAGCACCTGAGTAAATAAACTTTTGACTATTTAATTTACAGGTGAAGAGTAATTTTAAAATATTTATTTAAAGGTCAATTTAATTTAAAACACTATTTATCTTTAATGGTATAACACTAATCTTGTAGTATAAATAAATATCTATTAATCGCGTTTTTAAAGTTTTATTATATTTATAGTACATTATTTATTTTATATAGACGTAAATATCACTTATATTCGTTCATTGTCTATACGTATTTCCTATCCACATTCTGACATATCTATTCGAGTAAATTCAGAAAAGCCAAAATCTGTTTATCTCAGTCTCTATCAATAAAGCTGTTAAACGTTTTGATCGACTTTCATTTAGTCGAGATTGAAATATTGTATATAATATATTATTTACCTATTATATTGCGCTGTTATATTTTTATTTACTCCACGATAATTATGTACATATGAACAATAATGAAATATATTTCTATTTTTAATTCATAATATTCCAAATAGATAGAAATTAAAATAGTTTCATTAAAATTGATTTAGCCATTCTCGAAATAACATGCCTAAAAAGACAAAAAAAAATTATACCGGTAACATCCAATTTTAAAAAGATAATCTAAAAGCTCAAGTACACTACTACCACTAACAATTTTATTACATTTATAGACGGATATTTTATTAAATTTAAACGAATAATTTTATTATATCGATTTGAAGGTTCTGTATATAGTTCTGGTAGTCCCGTGGTAGCGCCCTCTTTTGGTGAACCAGTTGAAACAGGTTCACCAAAGAGTACTGACGTCCCTAAGAAACCTCTAAGACATTTATGTGAGAATCAATTTTAACATGCTATCTAATGATCAGTTTGAACATTTACAACATTACCAATTTCTAATACAATGAAAAAAACTTTATAATGGAACCTGTATATCAGAGAAAACCTAACTGATTTTTCGAAAGACTTGTAAAATTCGCCAGTCTGCATTTAGCCAGGGATGTGGATTATAACCTAATGCTCCTCGCATTGAGAGGAGACAGGGGCCTTCTTGAATTAAGGAAAGGGCAGTGTTTAGCAGTCATCCGCTATAAAAAGAGTAAAATTCTTGTTATTATCTATACATATAATAAAATTCTAACTGAGCCGAATCTGTACATTGAATATTTTTTGGAAAATCTTATTGAAATAGACATTATTATCGATACAGAGGCCGAATCTATAGCTTTTAGAATTTTTGTCTGTCTGTCTGTCTGTCTGTCTGTCTGTTACCGCATCACATAAAAAACACTGGAGGGATTTTGATGACATTTGGTATGATGATAGCTGGTTATCCGGGTCAACATATAGGGTACTTTTTACCGCGGGAAAATATCTAATTTCTGAGAATAAATACAAAAACTGCATTGTAAGAAAGAGTATACTAATATGTAAAACCTAAGAATATGCTTTTTGGTCATCTAAACGCGGGTGGAGCCGCGGGCAATGCTAGTTTTTTAATACTTTTATAAGAAAAGAATTTGAAGTAAGACAATTGTTTGTTAAAACTAAACTGAAAGAATATCACAAACACTTATACGCATATAGCAAGCAGGCTAGTGTTGTGATATATCATGCACGTCGTGTCCTGAGCCTTTTATATTTTATGTTTATCCAGGGTGATCTCAGCATCTGCGTCCGTTCAAACTACCACTACATATTGCAGCTTTATACTTTGTTTATACCGATTTTATTGATGTCATAATTTCTGTTTTGCTCAATATATTACTCGTAGACTAGTGACTTACCCTCGCTTCTCTCAATTTCGTCCCTAGATACGCAGATTTGGTTCACAATTTCTTGGGTTTTAATTATTTTTTGATATAATATAAGATAACATCAGCTATCTGCTAGTGAAAATCTCGTCAAAATCGGTTAAGCCCTTTCTGAGATTAGCGCACATAAACGCACAGACAAACAGACACACAAAAAATCTAAAAATCATTGTTTTGGGTTCTATTGCATGAATAAAGACCCCAAATAATAGTTTTTCTCAAATAACTTTCATGTACAGATAGCGATCAGTTACACTTATATTATATGTATAGTTTCTTTTCATCCGTTCATGTCATACCACCTTGACAATAATATGCCATAAATGCCAAATAAAAATGAAAGTTATCTTCAAGCCGAATTCACTTATAGTTACTCAACCGATAGCTGACTACAGAAATAGCCGTTGACTTGTAAAGATACTTAAGCAGTATGACAAGCGAGTTTTACTGGATATTTTGAAATTTATTATGTCAACACTCAACATGTCTCGGGTGGGCAGTTAATGTACCTGAATGACTCTTCACGTGGTCTTTTGATTAATCAAAGTAATGTCATATATGTACATCTTGTTATCTATTATCCCCTTTCTTCTTCATTTATAAATAATGGCAAATGAAATATATTTTTTTCTAAGCTCCATATTATTAAATATCTATCGGTATGCGCTGAGTTAAAATAATGCAATCAAATATTTGATCTAAATCTCTACATATAATAAAATTGTAACTAAGCCGAATATGTACATTAAATATTTTTTGGAAAATTTTAATGCAATAGACATTATTATCGATACAAAGGCTGAATCTATAGTTTTTACATTTTTTTGTCTATCTGTCTGTCTGTCCTGTACTTTGTCTGTCACCGCATCACGGAAAAGCCACTGTAGGGATTTTGATGAAATTTGGTATGATAGTAGCTATTTCTCCGGGTCAACATATAGGACACTTTTTACTGAGGGAAAATATCTCATATATGAGAAATCTATTTAAACGTTAAAACGTAAGTAGGGACGAATCGTATCGGAGCGACGATGAGTCGCTAATACAATTATAAAACGTGAGAAATTAAAAATAGACTATTCTATATGCGAAGATTTGTGTGCGTGTTTGTATGTGTATGTTTGTTGCTCTTTCACGCTGAAACGGCTGGACTGATTTGGATGAAATTTATTGCACAGATAGACAATAACCTGGAGTTAAGCGGAGGTAAGTCGTTTATATTTTCAATAACAATACTTACATAGGTACTTAAAAAGAGAACGAGAAAGTTTATTAATCTGTCAATTTCTCCTTCGATTTTCACACTTTTAAATAAATTATAACACAAAAACCACAGGCATCTCAGTTCAAAATCTAAATTCAACAAGGGAATACATTATCTTTACAATAATTAAGAAACATAAAAATTATAAATCTTCATGACAAGTTTCCAGCTAACTTAACTGAAACATAGAATGTCAA